TCCTGAAAACCAAAAAGTGGAAAAGACAAAAGACCTTTCCTCCAACAAAACAACTGGGGTGAGGAAGTCAAATCTATTTCACTGGACTGGGCAGGATGCTTCCGACATAGAGGTGGGTGAGGAGGGTTTTCTTCCAGGTACTCTTTTTAAAAATCTGCTTGTAGGTTTCCCAAAACATCCTATTGGGCATCCTAAAATATACCTTTATTTTTTTTGATCCTAAAGGGCTGCTTTAACAGCCTGATTTCATTGCAGAAGCACCAAAGTGATAACTTCTGAAACCCAAAAAGTGCAAAAAGCAGAAGAGCTTTCCTTCAACAAAACATCAGGTGAAGTATTCTAACAGTTTGGAGACTGAAATAGGCGGTGGGGAAGGATTCCAGTGACCACAAGTTACAACGACTCTGAAGATGATGTGAAATTGGAGGCATGACACCATCATCAGAAATGGAAGATGAAAGGCAGCTTCAGCCAGCTTAGGAAAGGAAAACTCCGACTTCAAACCCCCACTGAGGTGGCACCATCGTCCTCCATGCCTTGAGGGAACAGGACGGGTAGATGGGACTCATTCAGCCCTGGGAGGCAGCCCATCTAGGAGAAGGAAAACTCTGACTTCAAACTTCCCCTGCCTTGCGGCTATATCCACCAATGGAAAAGGCTTCAGGAGTTAACCCTGAGGCAAAATCCGGAGCCGGAGTCCCGAAGGCAGTTCGTGTCATTCTGTCAACTCCTGCAACGTCACTGAAACCAGTTGTATTGGCTCTTGCCTTTCCATTGGACTATTTCAGTGACGTGGAGAGGGGGGATTTGCTGCTTGGGTAACAGCTTATCCTCCATATTATTGTACCCAGGCTTGGTGCCCTGGAGAGGACACTCAAGCTTCGCGTACAGCATCAAAACACTAGACGTTTTTCTAAGTCCTCCATACAGACCATGTTACCATAGTCTCTTGAGATTGAAGGATGCCTATGAGGTACCGGTATGTGTGGGCAGACTACCGTGCAAGGTGGG